ACAAGAAATATGATTTTTATGGCGAGTTTTTCATATTTACTGAACAAGCATACCAGATGACGGCCATTTAATTAATAGTCACTCCAAATACGAGATGTCAAATGTCAACACAGTGCTTTTGACTAAATATGGATATGGATAAATCACAAGTAAATCATATTTCTAGATGAAAAAAATGTGTCTTACATTGTGATATATATATAAATTGTCCAATGATGAAAAAAAGGGTAAATATTGTTTTAAATGCAATCCAGAAGGCAGGCGGAAAAGCAGGTGAAATTTGTAACTTTATAGTGAAATATCTTGATAAATAATGGTTTGTTCACATTTTCATTATTAAATTCGTGTTTTTCAGACAAAAATACGTAAGTACCAAAAAAAATTTTCGAAAAAAAAAACCATCGCATGCTAAATGCAGTTTTACCTAAATGTCCACATAGTTTCAAATGAAACTGGAATATTTCCCCTGAGTTCAGTTAAATATGACGCACTATATATTCTTACAAAAGGAGTTGATTTAACTTGTTTTATAGTGGCTAAGGTTCATTACTAAAATTTGACTTTTGCCAAAACATATAAACATACAACACATAACATGCATCATATAGGTAAGGCATTTTTGACAGAATGCATGATTATCACTTGTTAATTCAATTAAGTTAAAAGAACCGAACAAAATTATCGTGATATATAGTCACCCGTTGCTATTAGCAACTTAATCAAAAATGAGCCTTATTCTAATTGGTTTGAAATAAATTCATGGAATTTTCTGACTAATGCTACTACGCAGAACACTGACGCCAATGACGTCATCCAGCGTTTCCAAATCTGTTATCATTTGTTTCGGTGCGAGATAAAAGTATCCGAGAAAAATTGATCGCCACTAAAATAAAAAGAATATCTGTAAAATGCGAACTGGAATGCACCGAAATATCCGTTACCTGTACCAGAGAAAACTGATCTCTGCCTGTACCTACCAAATTAAGTGCGATTAGTGGTCCTCTTCTCCAAAACTGATAACGCCCAATTCATTATCTCTGTTATAAATGATGCATAGCTCCAAAGATGATTGTAACAAATGAAATGTGCGAAGGCTAATTAATTTGAATGAATAAAATTGTCACAGCGGCACTTACAAAGTACCACTGCGTGGGGAGGGGGTCACGGGCTTCAAAATCACACAATATTAATATTGATATACCTATAATACGCAGCATCATTTTCAAAATGGTATTAATTATATACAGGGTGACCGCTAAAAGGTCAATCCATTAACCATATATTCCTTGAACAAAAACAATATTAGTTTCCAAATAACCATTTTTCATTTTAGCACTTCATATTCAATTACTCGCGTATTTAATAAGATATTAATCTCGAAATTGGTACATTACTTCAGCACAAAGAGTTACATCGTGTGAGGAAAACAAAACAGAAAATAACTGTCAAATATTCAAAATACTGGGGGTCAAGTACACACTTACCCCCATATTTTTTTGTACGTGTGCTAATGACTTTCTATTTATTTTTCTCCAAGTGTTCAATCATTTTTGAGTATTTTTTGTCTCTTCTAAAATTTCGATAAGATCATTTGTTTTTAAGATAATTCGAAAAGAACTGGTTATTGTTTGATGCCTATGCGCGGCTTACGGAAATCTCTCAATGTTCACATATACTCCTATTTATTTCGTCGAAATGTGTGTAACTTTTTACGTACGAAAGGGTAAATATTGAAATACCGGGTGATCAGAGCGAATGTATTGAAATAATTTTTACAAAAAAAAATGATAGAAATTGAACACGTTCAATTTAATTTCCAACTTTGACACCCTGTATATCGAATATGAAGGGCTAAATTGAAAAATGGTATTTAGAAACTCATATTGTTTTTGTTCAAGAAATATATGATTAATGGATTGACCTCCTTTCAGCGGACACCCTGTATGTGTAGATGTTTCAATAATTTACCCACATCAGTAGATATATTTTTTTTGAGTTCAGGTCACTTTTATTTGTATAGGCTAATATCAAACTAACATAATAATTGGTTAAAATAGTGTTTTTTGTCTGTTCATTATCATACTCATATACAGGGTGTATCTAAATAACACCGAAAAAATCCAAGGAGTGATTCCTTGTGATATTTCAGGAACTAACTTCGTTTTCGAGATACAGGGCCGGTATTAAATATTTCCACGAAAAAGATTGTTTCTATTCATTTCTCAATTGTCTTTTCATCAATTTCAATAAAACGTTATGGTTCTGTTAATAGTAATATATAGAGCTCCTTGTAGTGCAATTAGATTCGAAATAATATTACCAGTGGCGTCACAGTGGCTGAATTTATCGATATTCATGGTGAATGTCATTGTACGCCACCCGGTTTTTCTGAGTTTCATATTTTTATTAGATCTTGTACTATTGAAATAACAACATTTTCTGTGACGAAATTAAAGTTTGGCATTTCATCTCTGTTGGCAGGTTATAAAATGTCACTTTTCATAAATTAATTTTTTCCGTGGGAAAAAAGTGAGTACTTTTTTCCCGGATATATCACATATATATACACTGTTGATGGCTTTTGTTGTGCTATAGTTCCGAAAAATGAGTCAATAATACCGTCTCCGAGAAAGAACTGCAATTCGATCCTTTTATCTTCCATTCGACTTCGCGGTTACGTATATAACCAAACAACCACTAAATTCGCAATTTTTTGAAATAAAATCACAGAATTAGACTGACAGAATGTGACATCAGATATTTGATTACTTCAAAAGAATAATAAAGATGCCTACAAAATACAGGTGTCCCTACTGTTAAAAACTTAAAATTTCCCGTCGATAATTTTCAGATTTCAAAATAGTGTAATATCTTCTCAATATTGATTCGTTCTTCCTTCTGTCACTGGAAAAAAATAGTGTATTATACACAGGAAAAATATTAGATTTTAGCTCACGGTTTTTGGAGCTAACATCTACAACTTTTTTCCCTTGTACAATAAATAACTATTTTTATCCTGTGTATGATTTCTGTATCTAGCTTTTATACAGGGGGGGTTGTAATGAAAACAATTAATACTTCCAACTTCAACATCCTGTATCTCAAAATCGGAGCAAGTTTATTTCTCGGCAAGTTTGAGGCAATGCAATTTTCTCGCAATTTCCTCAATTTATTGCAAGTCGCCGTACATTGAGATATTTCTGTCATATTTTCTCGTTCATATTCACTATTTTCAGGTTCTTTGAGCCTTCAATGTACTTTTAGATGTTATTTGGTGTTTCAGGCCACGTTATGGAGAAAATTTGTATTTTATCAAGATGCTACACGATGAATATTACTAAAAATTTTACTAAACTTGCCTTGAAATTGCAGGAAAAATAGGACTGGTTCTATTACGAAACTTGCATGAAACTTGCCGTGAAATATCATAGACGCATGCGCATTGTTCGATTCAAAATTGCATTACATCGAACTTGCTGGAAAATAGCATAATGTACGGCGCCCTTTAAAAGTCGCTAATCACAAACAAACACCCCTCATGAATTTTTTTTGTGTTATTCAGATACACCCTTTATCTTATAGTCATATAGTGCTATACTATATATGCTTAGATGATATTGTATATATGCACATTCTTCTTTTATCATACAGGCGGGTGGCATTGAATTAAATGCAAATATTTCAAACACTGATCACTGTAAAAAATCTGACGTTGCCTCTGTTCAAATTTCCATCTGGTAGGCACAATCACGCGGAGTAGGTAAATCATTTAAATTGTTTCAAAGTTGCGTACCTACTTGATTTTTGTCTCGTATTTTGTTCAATTCTTTGGATGAAATTTCTCGTTAATTAGAAGAATTAGAAAAAAAATCTGATATCATGGGAATATTCCTTAGACTGTAATAACGACATAATCAATGTGCTGAATATGTGCACATATATTTCAAACACACCTTGTATATTCCTGTTGCTTCTACATTGGTAGATGTTTTTGGGTTGGCAACTTGGAGCGAATATTCCTATTGGACTTTTATAGTCTGTTGGATGTATTACTTCAATATGAATAAATAAATAAATGAATAAATGGTGTTGAAAACATGTAAAACAGGTAGAACAATGCAAACTTATAGTTGGGTTTGCTCAGTTGGACACCCTGTATCACGGAAACGAAGCATTTTCGGACCCATGACATTTTTTTCTTATTTTGTTGAGGGGAATATCCCCTAGGTTTTTGTCACCATAACTCCAAAACACCCTGTATATAATGAAAACAATGTATATACTTCTTAAAGATTATGTCTAAACTACTGGCAAATTGTGATGGAATTTTGTATGAATAATATATAGCTGACCCGGCAAACGTTGTTTGCCATAAACATTTGTAGACAAAAAATTGTTTAGATAAATATTCTCCTTTTGCTCAAAAAGTAGGTTTGGCTTTTTTCGAGAAGAGACACAGAGATTTGAATTGACCGCCATAGCTAGAGCTCCTAAATGTACTTGACACTGCTGTTTTGACGTCAGAGTAGTACATTTAGGCATTTAATCTATGATTTAGGAACTCTAGCCATAGCTAGAATCGTTCTGATTGGTCTAAAAATATGTGCGTACCAAGAACAGAACTAAAGGTTCTGTGGTACCTAGGTACCATAGAACCTTCGAATTCTTGCGTTCTCAGTCTTATGTTTTGTGATCTGTGCAAACCTTAGATCATAGACAGACAAGTGACAGACAACCCCGAGTTTGGCACAGAACTTGACTCAACAGGAACTAAACCATTGAACTTTTGGTAGTTTGAGTTTCGTGGTTTCAGCACGAAAACGAAAACAAAATTTATTTTTTTTGGGAATTTTTTGTTTATGTTAAATTGTCATGCGCTACAAGAAATGTCACAAAAACTGTAACAGTTTTTAGTCTGATAATATTTTAAATTCCTCATTCACACCATTTCCTGAAAGCCAAGTAGTGCCAGATAAAAACTGCTCAGTCGTTTTCCACAGTTGAATCGAAGCTATGTCCAATACTGAAAAAGCAGAAAAAGTAAAAGAGTTCTACACAAATGATATAGTTTACCGATTCGATAAGCACAAGAGGGTCGTTATTGGGGTAGTCGTCAATAGCATTAATAGCTATGAGGCTGCTCCAGATGTGGACGAATATCAGGCCTTGCAGAAGGGCCAAATCAGAGTTTTGTGGAGTAACACTTCCAGGGAGCAAGTGTGGAAGCAAAATAAAGTGCGGCTGATGAGTAGAAATATCATTCCTGGTGACATAGTTCGAAGGCTAGAGAAGGGTAAAGAAACACAAAGGGGGTACTGCAAAGAAGCAACACAAGTGGCTACAGTACAAATTGTTGGTACTGACAAAGTTATTGAACATATTCCCGATGATAGGTTACACAATGTTAGGCCCTATTCTATTGATGATGCTGTCTGTTTAGGTAGCAAATTTGGTAGAATTGAAGTAAGTTCATTTGATTAAAATGTTGTATGTTGTCACTATATACTTGTTATTTTAAGGGTGTAGATCAAATGGTTTCAATGCAGTCAAAATGTGGATCCATTGTACAGGTTTTGACCAGTATTAATCATGATTTAGATGACCATTGGCTATCTAAAAGAAACAGGTTGTCATTTGAGCCTTTTTACCAGTATTATCCTGGACAAGAACTGGTAATTACTTAGGAGCAATAAAATGTTTAATGCTTTTTTAAACCCCTCAGTTTACTTCTCTATATTCCTCAGATAGTTTTTATCAAGTTTACATTGTTCTGTTATGGAAGTAATTTCCTCACTACTATGTGTTTCAAGTTTTGCTTTCATTATTCAAAAACTTTTTTGATCTTTTTAGGTTTGTATACCTAGTAGTTTGGAACAGGCTCACTGGATAAAGAAAACTAAAACTATGAAGAGAAATATGCAAGCAAGACAGAGGTTCACAGTTCAGAGTGTGGAAGATGTTCTAATTGAAATAGCTTGGTATACAAATTCCTCTGGATATGCACACCTATCTGAAATTCCTCCAGAAGATATCAAAAAGTAAGAGCTTTTTTTTCACAAATGCTAGTCTTGGTGCTAGTTTTTTGATTTATTGGTCACTTATGTGATGTTTTTCTCAATGTAGAATGATCACCTCCATTAAGCTAGCAGAACCACTTTGATATTTTCAATTTTTTCTCCGGCCATCATTTTAGGCTAATTTAAGGCTAATTCATTACCCTATTGCCGAATTTATTGATCTTCGATTTATGCAAAAAAACGTGGGTTCTGCTAGCTTAACGTTAAGCTAGCAGAACCACTTCGTAAATAAAAGTTCAATCACAAAACTAATTATGCCATAATTTAAGGCTAATTTTAGGCTCCAATCCTAGCCTATTGCCAATTTTTTCGCACATTGTTTTTTTAAAAAAATCATGGGTTTTGCTAGCTTAACCGTTAAGCTAGCAGAACCAAATCTCAAATAGAAGGAATATAAAAATATTGAGTACACCATAATTTAAGGCTAATTTTAGGCTCTTCGTTGAACCTATTATCGATTTTTTTGAAAATCATTTTCTGCAAAAAAATTTCCCAAAACCAACATGAACATGACAAACCAAAAAAAAATTCAATCACAAACCTGATTGTGCCATAATTTCAGACTAATTTAAGGCTCTGATCCTAGCCTATTGCCAATTTTTTCGCACACTGATTTAAAAAAAAAATCATGGGTTTCGCTAGCTTAACCATTAAGCTAACATGTGAACATGACAAACCAATAGCAAACCAAACAAAGTTCAATCACAAAACTAATCATGCCATAATTCAGGGCTGATTTTAGGCTTTGATCCTAGCCTATTGCCAATTTTTTCGCACATTGTTTTTTAAAACAATCATGGGTTTTGCTAGCTTAACCGTTAAGCTAGCAGAACCAAATCTCAAATAGAAGGAATATAAGAATATTGAGTGCACCATAATTTAAGGCTAATTTTAGGCTCTTCGTTGAACCTATTATCGATTTTTTGAAAAATCATTTTCTGCAAAATATTTACCAAATCCAACATGAACATGACAAACCAATAGCAAACCAAAAACACTTCAATCACAAACCTAATTATGCCATAATTTAAGGCTAATTTTAGGCTCCAATCCTAGCCTATTGCCAATTTTTTCGCACATTGTTTTTTAAAAAAAATCATGGGTTTTGCTAGCTTAACCGTTAAGCTAGCAAAACCAAATCTCAAATAGAAGGAATATAAAAATATTGAGTACACCATAATTTAAGGCTAATTTTAGGCTCTTCGTTGAACCTATTATCGATTTTTTTGAAAATCATTTTCTGCAAAAAAATTTCCCAAATCCAACATGAAAATGACAAACCAAAAAAAACTTCAATCACAAACCTGATTGTGCCATAATTTCAGACTAATTCAAGGCTCTGATCCTAGCCTATTGCCAATTTTTTCGCACACTGATTTAAAAAAAAAAATCATGGGTTTCGCTAGCTTAACCGTTAAGCTAACATGTGAACATGACAAACCAATAGCAAACCAAACAAAGTTCAATCACAAAACTAATCATGTCATAATTCAGGGCTAATTTTAGGCTCTGATCCTAGCCTATTGCCAATTTTTTCGCACATCGTTTTTTAAAACAATCATGGGTTTTGCTAGCTTAACCGTTGAGCTAGCAGAACCAAATCTCAAATAGAAGGAATATAAGAATATTGAGTGCACCATAATTTAAGGCTAATTTTAGGCTCTTCGTTGAACCTATTATCGATTTTTTGAAAAATCATTTTCTGCAAAAAATTTACCAAATCCAACATGAACATGACAAACCAATAGCAAACCAAAAAAACTTCAATCACAAACCTAATTATGCCATAATTTCAGGCTGATTTGAGGCTCTGATACTAGCCTATTGCGAATTTTTTCGCACACTGTTTTTTTAAAAAAATCATGGGTTTTGCTAGCTTAAACGTTAAGCTAGCAGAACCAAATCTCAAATAGAAGGAATATAAGAATATTGAGTGCACCATAATTTAAGGCTAATTTTAGGCTCTTCGTTGAACCTATTATCGATTTTTTGAAAAATCATTTTCTGCAAAAAATTTACCAAATCCAACATGAACATGACAAACCAATAGCAAACCAAAAAAACTTCAATCACAAACCTAATTATGCCATAATTTCAGGCTGATTTGAGGCTCTGATCCTAGCCTATTGCGAATTTTTTCGCACACTGTTTTTTTAAAAAAATCATGGGTTTTGCTAGCTTAACCGTTAAGCTAGCAGAACCAAATCTCAAATAGAAGGAATATAAGAATATTGAGTGCACCATAATTTAAGGCTAATTTTAGGCTCTTCGTTGAACCTATTATCGTTTTTTTTTGAAAATCATTTTCTGCAAAAAATTTCCCAAATCCAACATGAACATGACAAACCAGTAGCAAACCAAAAAAAACTTCAATCACAAACCTGATTATGCCATAATTTCAGACTAATTAAGGCTCTGATCCTAGCCTATTGCGAATTTTTTCGCACACTGTTTTTTTTTAAATCATGGGTTTTGCTAGCTTAACCGTTAAGCTAGCAGAACCAAATCTCAAATAGAAGGAATATAAGAATATTGAGTGCACCATAATTTAAGTCTAATTTTAGGCTCTTCGTTGAACCTATTATCGATTTTTTTGAAAATCATTTTCTGCAAACAATTTCTCAAATCCAACATGAACATGACAAATCAATAGCAAACCAAAAAACTTCAATCACATACCTAATGATGCCATAATTTCAGGCTAATTTAAGGCTCTAATCCTAGCCTATTGCCAATTTTTTCGCACATTGTTTTTTACTCGTTTTTTAAAAACAATCATGGGTTTTGCTAGCTTAACCGTTAAGCTAGCAGAACCAAATCTCAAATAGAAGGAATATAAGAATATTGAGTGCACCATAATTTAAGGCTAATTTTAGGCTCTTTATTGAACCTTTTATCGATTATTTTGAAAATCATTTTCTGCAAAAAAATTCCCAAATCCAACATGAACATGACAATACATTAGCAAATCAAAAAAAGTTCGATCACGAAACACATTATAGGTACCGAAATTTAGGTACATACATTTTCATTACAATTATATTCTATTCAATGGAAGTTACTAATCACAATTACAAATCTCAGTGCTCTTATGTATAGGAATGTAAAATGTTGGTAAAAAATCTCGTAAAAAATACAAGTTTATGAATACGAATACATCATATATTTTTGCCTTTAAGTGGAAGTGGTACTTTGAAAACTGCGAAATCTCAGGGGCAACGGGTGAGGCAGAGGTATAAAATTCACTACTGATGGGTGGAGCTTAAACACTACGCCGATGACGATAAAACCATTACTTCTTTGTAAATCCGTTCCTCGACCGAATTACGAGGGGAGTCTAAAACTTCAGTACGACGCGGCGACCGCTGCGTGCTGACAATCATGTCGACTTGGCGTATATTGCGAAGAACGCTCCAATCGTTGGACTGTCGACTAGCCGTGCTAGTCGTTATAAGCTTGAGAAAATTATTCATCTGGGTATAATGGATACGTTAATTCAAATCCAGCAAGGTGAATTCATTCCGGATTTGCAAATAGCGAGAAAAATCATTCCGATTTTGAAGTTGATGCAATTTCTTTTTTAATTTTTAAGAGCATACGAATGTAAAGCTGTTGTTTTTATATTCTGTCGATACTAATTTCTCCTCGAATTATATTTTTACACAAATTGCTATTTGCTTATTGATTGATTTGAAGTTGTTAGTGTAAAACGTGAAATAATATTGAAAGAAGAAATGGAATAACAATAATTCAATAATATTATTTCACTTGATTTTTTTGGATTTTCTCTCGTCGTTTCTATGAAATAAAAATATGCGTATTATTTCAATATATTTGTAGTGGGACAAATCAGATGATTTGCCCCAAAATGTCACTGCGTTCAACAAATTTTTCTATCAGGGAGCCTGAAAGAAAAATCCAGTAGCTTGTCAGTGACAATTTTTTTTTTCATTTTTTTTTTATTGCTTGGAGCCCACGAAAGGGAATACCTATAATGTTCAAAGAAATATAGATATATTGAGAAAATATCGAATCTTTACTTATCTTTTAACGTTTCGGGACCGACTCTGCTCCCGTTCTCAACATGAAAATGCAAAATAGTTCTCTTTGGAAGTTGTGCTGCTTGTAGTTTGACAGTTTTCAGTGTCATAATGATGTTGGCATATGAATGAGTGATTTTAGTTACAGGATGTTTTCATTTATTGATCTTGAATCCACCATTTATATGTTCAGCCCTCATTAGTGAATACCAGGTTCTATCTATATCAACTGAACAGGAAACAATGCTAATGTCTCCGTTCAGAAGAATGCAAGCGGATTCCTTGATTTTTCTTTTTTGGTTGTTATCTTTCCTATGATTTTTATATTTTTCCACTCTGCCATATGTTGTCCATCTTCAGTAAGGATATGTTCAGTTAGCGTCGATTTATCGATATTTTTTCTCTTGATATTGTACTTGTGTTCTTTAGTCCTTACTGAGAGAGGTCTTTCGTCGTTCTGGCTCCAGAGACATTTTATTTCCACAATGGAGTTTTTTCCTTCTGGAATTCCGTCAGGACTGGCAGCTATGTAACTAAATTCTTCATCAATGAATAGTCCACATTTTCAATATAATTTTGTGCTTCATATATATACTATACAGCTTGATAGAGGTGTGCGAGAGTATGTGTGTTAGAATATGGCGAGTTCGCTTCGATCCACCCCTTCAGAGGGGTAGTTTATACTGGCCGATTTCAAAAAATCCTTGCTGACCGAGTATTTTTGGTTGGTATTTTTTTTATCAAATGACATATTCAATGAGAATACGAGTGAAATGATTCCGATCCACTTCTTCAGAGGGGTAGTTTATTCTTGCTGTTTTTCAAACATCCTTGTTTACCGAGCATACCAGGTTCGTATTTTTTCTCAAAATTGCATATTTGAATATATTATAGAAATATATACATGCCACCAGTGAAATA